CGGCGCGAAAGCGCCCAGCCTGGCGCGCGGAGCCGACAAACAGCTGATCAGCTGTTTGTCGGCTCAGCGCGGCAGCCACGTAAATTTAAATGAAGCCACGATCATTTAAATCGCGGCTTCATTTGCCTTTGCCTACAACCCTAATCTACATGGCTCCATCGATGGAGCCATGTAGTCTAGACACAGCCAGTGAGAGAGGATATACCTTCCGTGTGTGTGTGTGAAGGAAGTTACTCCAATCTATCACACATTCCTTTCTGAAATGTGTAATCCTTCTGAAGTATGCTCATGAGTTAGCTGGAATACTACAGTAATGAGTCATTGTATGACCAGAAATAACGTTCTGGGCCTATGTCACATATAGACTATTGGAAGAAGGGCTTATGTTATATGTGGGGATGGACTTAAATACCCTATAATGCCATCTGTGTAGAGCCCGACTCTTTCCTTAGCTCACTCAGGCTACGTCTAGATGCTCTTTGTCGACAGAAGCTTTGTCGACAGTATCTGTCGACAAAAGCCTGTAGTCTAGACGTGCCCTTGGTGTTATGCTACATCTCCACTGATGGTGTTTCTCGACTACAGGGGTTTTTTCGAAAAAAGTGGCCTTTTTTCGAAAAAACTTCCCCTGTGTCTAGACTGCTGCCACGGTCTTTTGAAAGTAAATTGATAGAACGCGGCAGTTTTTTTGACCGCGGAAAACCTCGTTTTACGAGGAAGAATGCCTTTTTTCAAAAGTGCTCTTTCATAAAAAGGTGCTATGTCATGCAAACTGTGCTTTGTCTAAAGAGAGCATCCAGACTGCCTGGGTGCTGTCCTTCAAAAAAGCGGCTTGCTTTTTCGAAAATACTTGTTGTTGTCTAGATGCTCTTTTTCGAAAAAAGGCTTTTTCGAAAGAGGCTTGCAGTCTAGACGTAGCCTGAGTGTAGACACAAAGGACAGTGTAGATGCAATAATGCCTTCTGTTGACAGAACTCTGTCGACAAAAGGCGTTATTCCTCATAGAATGAGGTTTACCGCTGTTGACAAAAATGCCGAGTTCTGTCGACGTTGTGTTGACAGAACTCAGCGGTAGTGTAGATACAGGTATAATTCTGTTGACAAAAGTCTACCTTTGTCGACAAAACCCTGTAGTCTAGAAATACCTGTAGGGGTAAATTCGAGCTAAATCACAGCACAGAATACAGAGTCAGGCCTGGTGGCTGTAAACAAAATTTATGGGACCGCGGGAAACTTGGCCACCCCCATGATGAGTGGCTCCCGGCACTCATTTGGCGTCACTGTGATTGGTCCTCCGCTCTCTAGTTTAATGGGGTCATAGAAAGGTGGGGTGGGAAGCGACTTCAAGGGGCCATCCGGTCCAGCCCCTGTGCTGAGGCAGGAGCACGTTAACCCACACCATT